GAACCAAGGACACTTCTGAACCCCTTTGATTTTGAGCGGGCGTTTGCCATTTAAGAGGGCATCCAACTTGGTTATTCAAAGGCAATGGCGAACAAATCCCTTTCTTGGTTGCACACAGGTCCCTTTGCCGAGTCATGTCCGTTTAGGGATTAGGGACATGTTGAGCCGCCTCGCAAAGCAGCATACTTTCAACAGGACACCCCATCAAATCCGCCCCACAAGATGATGTCTAGATTGGCGCAGGGAAATTTAGCGGAAAGAAACCTTCAGCTTTCAGTGGTCAAAGACGGATTAGGTGAAAATGGGAAATGCCTTGGCCCCTCGTGACTAGTCACCAGGCAACGACTCCAAAGTAAGACAACCCTTTTGGAACGGTTTTTTTGTGAACCCCGAGCTCCCACGCCAGTATTATTTTCTATTTTCATGTTACGGAAATGAGACGGCCGAGCTGCAGGAGCGTTCCCTTTGCTCGATTCGAGGCCTGTGTTGCTCAATTTGGACCTGAAGGCACGGCTGGGGATGGGCAGCCAGCGGTCGCAATTGGCCGGCAAAGCCGATTGCGATATGGGCGGTTGGAGTTTGTGCCCTTTCTTTGTGGCAAGAGGAAACCAAAAGGAAAACCGCAGCCAGCTTTAGTGGGTCCCCGAAAAAGAGACGAGCCATCCATATTGACAATGTTGGTGGTGTGGTACTTGCTAGTAATTCGGGTGCTTTGGTTCCCAGGTTTCAGAGAAACAGCAAGTCCCTTCTTATTTGTAGCAATGTTGGTAATAACTCAGCTACTCACTTCCTGATGTCCTGGGCTTTCTCCTTTGTGGGACGACCATTTTGGTGGTATACAAACAGTTTATATGTTTGTTGGGCCAATCCACTCGGGAAGCGAGCCTACACACCAAAAAAGGCTTTTTTGGGCCCTGCGAAGGTTCTCGCAAGGCTTGGGTGGCTTTTTCCTGTTCAGGCGCTGCCCGTTTGTGTGTTGCGCGTTTGCGTAGGTGGGGGTTGATCAATAGGTCCTTTACCACTATGTGGTTAAGAATATGTTTTATTTTCCCCTGTTGGTTTTAAAGGGAACCTATCACTATTGGATTTTTTTTCCTGGGGGCTCAAGCAAATGGAAGTTTACATGGGATGACCATGAGGAAAACCGCAAACAAAGACAACTTTCGCCACTAAATGGGAACAGTTGCCCATGGACACTTGGGGGGAATATTGATCAACCCCCATGTTTGTGTATTTGTTTGTCATGATGATTCCCCTGTCATACCAGCCAACAGTAGTCTCCCATGGTTTCTTAGGTGGCGCGAAATAGATTTGGAATCCATCCGCAGTATGTCTCTATGACACAAAGCTGATTATAAGCAACCTTACGTTTGTGGTTCTGTTCATTATTAAGCATGCCAAGTGTTGTTTGGTCATTTAGGGGCCAGGAATATTGATCAACCCCATGTCTCTGTATTTCTTTGAGGGTTCTCTTTTCACAACCGAACCAAAACTTGAATCACAATCAAAACCCGGGTAAGTGAAGGTTAGCAAGGGACAATCCCCTTGCCACAAATAGGCGCGGATCTCCGCCTTAATTCTTGAAGCATGGTTCTGGGATTCCGACCCTTATACCGGGTTTTGAGCAAGTGACTCAGTTGACAATCAGGTCGACTCCGTTGAACATCGGTGTCCCTAAAATCGAGTTGTTGAGCTCCCCCCCCTCCCCCCTTCCTCCCCCTCCCCAGCCATGACTTACCAAGCCTTGGGGGTAGCACCTTCCACCGGATTCGACGCCAGCGCCCGGCAAGAGGTGCCCAGAGGCTCCTTGCTGCTGCTCACGGGTCGCCCTGGCGCCCGGACGCCCAAAAAAGATGATGCCCGGGACCCGTCGGAGTCGGAGCCGGAGCTCCGGTGTTTGTTTTGGTGTTTACGGCTGAAGAAGGGTAAGCCCAAGATTCGGAGCTGGAATCCCGGTGTTTGTCTTGGTTTCCCTTACAGCTGAAGAAGTGGCCCTCAAGCAAAATATAACACAAGATTGTCCTTTCAAATGGTGAAAAAGGTAAGCCTTAACAGAAAACACACCAGAAAAATGCCGTTCAAATGGTGAAAAAGGTAAGAATCAATAGAAAACACGAGCAGAAATTGTGACCATTGTTGGTGGAGTTATCTCCGTGACTCTTGGGGGGTGAGTTGTTTCTTGCTTTTGTTGGTCGAGTCAGTTCGATTTGGGGGGACCAATGAATGATCGGAGAGCACCTCCAAATCAGCCCGCCTCTGGGTTGGGGGGATTGGGTTGGGGGGATTGGGTTGGGGGGATTGGGTTGGGTTGAGGGGGCGGTGGGTACCCTTCAACACAAGCTAACACCAATGGAACTGGTGCCCTTGCTTCTCCGTGGCCGCTGAGGGACCCCTTTGGTCATCAGATTCGCTGGGGACTCATGTCACTCATGTCGAAGGGGGATTCCTATGCAAAATCCATCGGCAAATTGGTTTTAGCCACATATGGCTGTGGGTCAAAGCCAATGGTACCATTTTGGGGTAGGTGCACCAAACAGTTGAGTCTATTTTAGTGGGGATTGGGATGTGCGCTGGGGGTACGGAATTTTGACCCATGGACATATTGCTTCGCTTTGAAGGAGAGGGGTTGGCTGTCTAACTCACCGGAGCTCCCAGCATTCCGACCTTCTGGGTCTGGATCATTTTAGGCAATACTCTTGTTGACCAATCCACGCAGAAGGTGATCACCAGCAATTCGTTGCCACCAACCCGACTTGGATGTCCAACCAACTTAAGTAGATTATAACCATGCTAGCAACCAAGGGGTTGGTCATCTTACCATGGAAATACTCAAAGCGAAACGACCTTTGACCTTTTGTGTGTTTCCCATGTTGGTCCACTTTTTAGTAAACTTACCTCTTAAAAACACAACTTTTCAACTTTTTGGGAAACATGGGCTACGGTTGAAGCCCTAAATATTGCAAGTGCGGAGCAGAAAAACAAAGGGCACGGTCCACTAAGGGAAGCACTGTGACATGATATCTGTGGCCCCCCTTCCCCTGATACAATGTTGAACTTGCAATATATTGGGCCTCGGAAGACGGGTTACGGGCTTGGCTTCAACATTGTAACTGGGGGAGAGAGGTCCGCACGCAGCGGGCGATGCCACAGAAATGGTGTCAACATGTGCATTGGTGGCGCTTGCAATATTTAGGGCTTCCACTGTCTGGGGTGAGCCGTTACAGCAAGGCTGTGTTTGCCTTCCAAAGCAGCCTAGACATGTGAAACTTGTGAAACTTGGAAAGAGCTCGTCCTGAAACTTGTTGGTATTTGCGTGAAACTCGTGAAACTCGTGAAACTTGGAAGAAAAATAAGTAAGGGTTATTTTTCTTCCAAGTTTCACGAGTTTCACGAGTTTCACGCAAATACCAACGAGTTTCAGCACGAGTTCTGGCCAAGTTTCACAAGTTTCGCATGTCTGTGCAAAGGCAGGCGTCTCCAAACCCCAGGTTGCACACGTGTGGGGGCTGAGCAAGGCAAGTCTCTCCAAAGTCTTCGCACGCAGACAAAGAGACGGTGCGGAGCGACGGCCGCGGACGCAAAAAAACGATGGACAGTCTACGCGAGACGGTTGAAGCCCTAAATATTGCAAGTGCGGAGCAGAAAAACAAAGGGCACGGTCCACTAAGGGAAGCACTGTGACATGATATCTATGGCCCCCCTTCCCCTAATACAATGTTGAACTTGCAATTATTGGGCCTCGGAAGACGGGTTACGGGCTTGGCTTCAACATTGTAACTGGGGGAGAGAGGTCCGCACGCAGCGGGCGATGCCACAGAAATGGTGTCAACATGTGCATTGGTGGCGCTTGCAATATTTAGGGCTTCCACTGTCTGGGGTGAGCAGTTACAGCAAGGCTGTGTTTGCCTTCCAAAGCAGCCTAGACATGTGAATCTTGTGAAACTTGGAAAGAGCTCGTCCTGAAACTTGTTGGTATTTGCGTGAAACTCGTGAAACTCGTGAAACTTGGAAGAAAAATAAGTAAGGGTTATTTTTCTTCCAAGTTTCACGAGTTTCACGAGTTTCACGCAAATACCAACGAGTTTCAGCACGAGTTCTGGCCAAGTTTCACAAGTTTCGCATGTCTGTGCAAAGGCAGGCGTCTCCAAACCCCAGGTTGCACACGTGTGGGGGCTGAGCAAGGCAAGTCTCTCCAAAGTCTTCGCACGCAGACAAAGAGACGGTGCGGAGCGACGGCCGCGGACGCAAAAAAACGATGGACAGTCTACGCGAGACGGTTGAAGCCCTAAATATTGCAAGTGCGGAGCAGAAAAACAAAGGGCACGGTCCACTAAGGGAAGCACTGTGACATGATATCTGTGGCCCCCCTTCCCCTGATACAATGTTGAACTTGCAATACATTGGGCCTCGGAAGACGGGTTACGGGCTTGGCTTCAACATTGTAACTGGGGAGAGAGGTCCGCACGCAGCGGGCGATGCCACAGAAATGGTGTCAACATGTGCATTGGTGGCGCTTGCAATATTTAGGGCTTCCACTGTCTGGGGTGAGCAGTTACAGCAAGGCTATGTTTGCCTTCCAAAGCAGCCTAGACATGTGAAACTTGTGAAACTTGGCCAGAGCTCGTCCTGAAACTTGTTGGTATTTGCGTGAAACTCGTTGAAACTCGTGAAAACTTTGAAGAAGCAAA